CAAAAGAACAATCATGGTCATAACATGAACCAGACAAATCATTCTCTCTACCATATATATTTAACACTGCTAGTCCTCTGTTCGCATGCTCAGAACTGAATAAATTAGATGGTGTCTGTCCTTCAGGTATTAACCTAAATGTCACTTCCTCTGGAAAGATTTCTTGGTTTTCCCTTCTTTCACACACTGAGGTAGATATTTTCCACCATGGGCTTGCATGGAATGGATGTGAGCACTCACAGAGCACCCTAGACATCCCTGTTACAAGAGTCATCACATTTTATTATCATTGCTTGTTTCATTAAGTGTTTTTCCACTAGACCACAAGGTCTAGGAGGACCCACCATGCAAGTCTTGCTCACCATTTTATCCTCAGGGGTCTGGAAAAAAACTAAGAATGTTATAAACAGTTGATAAGTGAAGGAAAGAAAGGAAGAAAGAAGGATGGAAGGAAGGAGTTTTTCAAATATTAGGAAAGCCAATTGTTTGGTTTATTTAGTATTCAAAATGCAATCATATGGGCAGTACTTTTGGAACTACTTCCCTTATGACTGGGATTTCACCAACTCCTTCCTGTGCTTATTGAATTGCTGAAAATAATACCAAAAAGTGTTATTTCCTCCTCTGATTCCTCTAGGAGATGCAGACACAAATCATAGAGTCTAAGTGACTTAAGCCAGAATGGTTCTTCTTGGTTCTTATGTCATTGTTTTGGAGTCAGACCAGGTATCCACACTGTACCATCTGCACTGTATCCTAAACATCACTTACTTTCCCATCTGACTCTTGCTTACATTGTGAGATTCTCAGCTCTCCCCTGATTCATCTCCCAAAGTACAGATGATTATCCCTATGCTAATGGAAGGGAGAAAATGTGTAGATCATCCAAAAGAGTGGCTTGTCCAAACATTGTCTCTTTTTGGCTTTCAAATACATAATATAGATTTTCATATACCAGAATTTGCCCACGGCTCAGAAATTCTTCTGTAAGTGGCAGTCCAAATTTGAAAACCACAGCTGTTTTTAGCAATTGAGTCACTGCCTTTCAGATGCCAAAAATATCACCTACCATATTCCCCAAGGTTCAAAGAAAGAGGAAAGAGGAAAAAAAGCAAAGAACAAGTTGAGGATAAAGGTAGCCAGAAGCTTCTTCAGTCATACAAATTATTATTAAAAATAACTATAATAGTGCTCACTTCAGCAGTTCATACATTAAAATTGGAATGATACAAAGATTAGCATGGGCCCTGCAAAAGGATGACACAAAAACTTGTGAAGTGTTCCATATATTTTACTGGAATAAAAATAAAAAGAAAAGAAAAAATTAAAAAAAAAACTAAACTGAATTAACAATAATATTAGCAATAAGAACTAGCATCCAATAGCAATTAACACAACAGGGCCTCATGTGACTTTCCTAATCTCCCTAAAAGGGAAAGATCATAGTATTCTTAGCACCCTCATTTTACAGATGAAGAAACAAAATTAGAGAGGTTAAGTGAATAACCCAAGGTTACACAGCTAAGCCTGAGCTCCAACCCAAGCCATCCGACTTCAAATTCCATATTCTATCTCTTATTCAAACACAGTCTCATCACTGATTTATCTAACCATTCCTTCATGAATTGATTTTGGTAGAAAACCTGCCCTTTTTCCATCACTGTAGGCCTAAGGGGAATCATTGGACTTTCTGTGAGCTTCTCAAAATAGAGTAGAAACAAAGATTCTACTTTTAGCTTTTAAATGAGGGATCTAGGTATATGCATATTAAAGTCTTACTTGGCCCTTCTCTAAATTGGTTTTGGAAGCTCCGGGAAAGAAGCGTGGCCAGTGTGTCCCAGTGTGCACCTTGGACTCTGATTTCCAGACCCTCCACCCACACACACAGGACCTCAGGAACAGCCAAAGCAACTTTTTAACTGGCAAAACATGGTGACCCTTCTCTGGTCTCCCAGTCCCCATCTCCCCAGAGCAGACCAGTGCTTAGTACCTCCTGGGCTGTGGTGAGAGAGATTCTTATCCTGGAGGTTGTAGCAACTGGGTCCAGGCTGCACAGCCAATAGAAAGGCTACCCCATAAATCAAATCTCAGGGAATCTGTGATCCAGCAACACCTCCAGTAGTTACACATTTAAGGCAATATCAGGCAAGAGCTTTGTGAAAGAGAGCTGGGAAAAGAAAATTAGACAGGGAAATGAAGGGCTCCTAAATGATACAGGGAGGATGAAACTGTGGCAGACAGATTTTCCAAAGATGACTGCAAAAATCATTCTAGTACTAAATGCTCTTCCAGAATCTTGCTACTCTCCCACCAAAAGGAATTTATTTCCTCTCTCCTTGAATCTCCATTGGTCTTGCTGACTGTCTCAATGAATGGACTATGATTGAAGTAAAGCCCTATGACTTTTGAGGGTAGGTTAGAAAAGGTGGTATGATTTCCACCTGACTCTCACTTCTGGGCATCTGACTTTGAACCTTGGAAGGAAACCCTGGTTACATAGAAAGTCCAGAAGTCGCTATTCCACTTATCAGCCCAACAAAGGTGCTAGCTGACAGCTGGCATCAACTGCCAGACCTGTGAGTGAACAAATCTTGTGATTCCAGCTGCAAGCCTTTGCGTGACCCCAGGCTTCAAGTCTTTCAGCTGAAGCTCCAGACATCATGGAGCATAGATGAACCATCCCCATAGGGCACTGTGGGGATTCCTGACCCATAGAATCAAAGGGCACAGTAAATAGTTGTTTAATGTCACTAAGTTTTGGGGTAATTTGTTGCACAGCAAGTCATAACCAGAACAGGAACCTAGGTCTGAGAGGACCTCGGGCATGTTCTGTCTGCAACAGCCAAAGGTGAGATCAGGTCTTACTACTAATTATAGCCATCCCCAGCCAGATGCCTTCCTCCTAAAGGTCATTTTTCTTAAGGGTGCCACTGTTCCTCCCTGCAGCTGTATGTGGCCCTCCCATCCAAGTTCGTTAGACTTTAAAAGGTCTGAATCTGAATCTCAATTGTGCACAGGGTTTGAGCCATTTTCTTTAAGGTTCTTTGGCCCTGCCTGGACAAATGAGAACATGAGCTTAGCCACTTATTTCAGTCTTCGAACATTCTGTGATGATTAAGAAGTATCCAGCCTTGGAGGAAGACAAGCAGTGCAGAGAAAGGGAAGAACCTAACTCCCAACACCTTTGTCTTCATTCTGATGTAGAGTTATGTGTTCTTCTTAAATAATTACATGAGCACAGTTAGAAACGTCACTCTCAATGCCATGATACCAAGAATCATTTTACTTCCAATGATAGCCCTTTAAGCAGGTCATTAGATTTGGTATCAGAAAAGCCCAAAATACAGGGACTTGTCTATCTCATACACTACTGTAACACAAAGACCGAGCATATTGCCTGGAACTTGGTAAGCGCTCAATAAATATCTGTTGGATGGAAGAATAAGCGAATGAAAGAAATTTCCTCCCTCCTTATAGAGAGTAGAGAATGATACCTACTCTCAGATTAGTATAAAGTGCTTAGAAATTTTCAGTGTTCAATAGAATGATATTCAACTGCCTTAAGTAATATTTTTCAACCTTTTTAAAGCAACTGTTAAACTTTAAAACTGTGAGTTTCTTGAAGGCAGAGACTATGTCATATTCCGTATCCCCAGCATGTATCCCTAGCACCTGGCACTTTGCCTAGTACTTGTTAAGTGCTCAGTAAATATTAAATATTTAAATATTAAAAACTAAATGAATGTCAAATGGAGACTGGCAGAGATATTTCAAATTATTTAGTTTGCCTAGGCTTTACATGGTAGGAGGCAGTGACAGATAAAGATGCTAGGCAATGCGCCTGATTCCCAGAGGGATCACACTGGGATGCAGAAGTCCAGAAGTCCTGAGGCTTCCCAGCTGCTTTGAGTTCCCTTTGAGAACACGGGGACTCAAAAAGATTTTGTAATCTGAGCAGAACACTGGTCTGGATACCAAAAAATGCACCACTTTATCAGTTAAGATTATACTCCAAATATGATTTTCTTTCACAGCTAATTTGATACATGATCCATTTATTCATTTGTTCATTCATTTATTCATTCATCCCATATTAACGGGGGTCATTTAACTGTTCCTATTTTTCTGCAAAAATTTGTTTAATCTGCTCAAGAGATAGGTGAGTGTGCAAAAGGTCCCTGTTCCCTGGAAAACTGACCTGACTGGGCAACAAAAGATGTGATATAATTTTGTAGAGGCAGATGGAAATTACAGACATAAGATCTTCACAATTCAGAATGAACTAATCCAGTGTATTTCAAAATGTGATCTGCATTGGGTAGAATCACTTGACAGATTACTATTAAAAATAGAGATGTCTGGGATCCACCACTCCAGACATACTAACTCAGAACATCAGGAGTGAGACTGCAGACTTTATGAGCAACTTCTGGTGATTTTGATTGTACTCAAGTTTGAGAACTGTTGACCGAAGATATCTTGCTAATGGGACATACATGCAATTGCTTAATATAATATAGATTTCCCCCCATCTCTACAAAAGTAAGATGATACTTGACTGATTCTAAAACATCTAGGAATAGCATATATATGGCTCAGATATTTAACACAATTTAGAATAGTGTAAACATGGCCAATGCCCCAGACCAGAATTTCACTGAATAAATATAACAATTCCCTCCATAAACTAGCCCCATATAAACCCTTGCAAAAAGAAAATAAAGTAAATCTATCCTTCCCTTAAGAAACTCATAATTTAGAAGCAAACTCTTAAAAAATAGTTGTTATTAGAATAGAAAAGCCTTTAAACCCAGAAATGGCACATTTAAACAGTTCTCAATTTGAAAAACAATAAACAACAATCATCAGCTGTGAAAGGGAGCTCTGGACTATACTATTTTTCTACCCTGGTTCCCACAGTGCTGACGTCCAGCTGGGACCCTGAGACCTTTTCATTGCTTACCCCCAAACTCACTCCTTCCCAGGGGACATTTACTCACTTTCTGAATTTTCCTAATCTGGTCAGAGAGTGTGTCTAACAGGCGAGTTTTCAGGAAGTCCATCACCTTGACCACCCGGCCATCAATGTAGCAACTGGAATAAAAATAAAGTAAGAATCAGGTAAAATCTCGAGCAGGAGACTATAAATACACTTCTCTAGCCAGAGGTCTCTGTCGCCTGAGGAAGCAGCCCAGAGTTCATCTGGGCTTTTACATCCTAAAAAGTTTTGACCCTGAGTGCTTTTCAAACAAGTAATACAGTTTTTATCTTCTTCATTTCTACCTCCATTTGTGGCATATATGGTGATTTTTTTCAATCTTTGTCACATAAAACTGCATTGTTTGCTCTGTAGGAGCTGACAGGAATCTCTAATACAAATTAAGTAATGGGGGAAATGTTACTTTTTTTCCCCCCTAGGAAGAGTAATTTAACACCCATACCATACCACCCCTACCCCCACCTTAAACTAATAAAGATATGTGAGAGGTTTAGAAAGAATATTCAAACATTTTTTATGGATTTCCACACCTTTTAATAAGGAAACAAATCCCAACCACAAAAATCTGATTTAGTATAGTGAGTGGGTCTCAAAGGTTTCATCTCTAGCTCACCTAGTAGTCAACCTTCTCCAACCACCTCCAGAGTAAAGAAATGGATGAATGAATGAATGAATGAATGAACAAATAAATAAATAAATCAGATAGATTAAATCTAGGTGCACTCTCTTAAAATAACAAGTTTTGCATTTACTGGGTATGGTGGTATGGGTTTTATTAGGTTGCTTAGGTGTAACATCAAGTTGTGCTGAAAATGTTGTGAAACTTTTGACCATAACAGGTCCATCCAGCTTTGTGAGGCCCTCTTTGTGAATCTTTACTCTGAAGACTCAGCTGAGACTGGCCCAGGTTTAGGTGACCTTTATTATCTCAAACTTCCCCACTCCCATCTTTATAAAATTCTGAATTAAATCAACTGAATTAAAATAAATGCCTATGATTCCTGAGTGCCTTTTCCAGTACACTCAGGTCTCCCCAGCTGATGGAATAGATAATGATAGATTATTTCATTTTTAATAAGCTACCAATCTATCAGTATGTATGATAGAACTATGTGAAAATTCTTTTTAATGTTAAATCCCCATACCAATAATAATGTAATAGAATGGTTAAAAAAACTTTTTTAAAATTTCATTTATTTATTTATTTAGTTGAGAGACAGAGAGAAAGAGAGAAAGCAGTAGCATGAGGGGCAGAGGGAGAGAGAGAGAATCTCAAGGAGACTCCAAGCTGAGTGTGGGGCCCCATATAGAACTTGATCTCAGAACCCTGAGATCATGACCTGAACAGAAATCAAGTCAGATTCCCAACTGACTGGGCCACCCAGGAGTCCCTAAAAAAGTTTTTTTTTAATTGCTTTAGCTGTAGTGAGTGTGGGACATGAGTTCCAGCCACTCAGCCTTCCCCTTAGCCTCCTTCACCACCTCAGACATTTCCACAGAATCCAATGTTTAAATTACTGGTATGCTGGAAACAACATAGATTTTGGACCCAGAGATATCTGAGTTCAAATTCCAGATCAGTTATTTACTACCTATACGACTTTAGACAAGATATGTGGCCTCTGTGGGCCTCAGTTTTTTTATTCTTTTTTATTTTTATTTTTTTAATTTTTTTTTTAAGATTTTTTATTTATTTATTTGACAGACAGATCACAAGTAGGCAGAGAGGCAGGCAGAGAGAGAGGAGGAAGCAGGCTCCCCACTGAGCAGAGAGCCCGATGCGGGGCTCGATCCCTC